TTTTCAAATGATCCTGAAGACATTGATTAGCATGCTCAGGTGTGTTTGATTAGGGTTAGAGCTAAACTCTGCAGGAAAGTGAATCTCATGGGCCAGATTTGACGATCCCTGCGATAGAGCATTAACTTTTTAATGACACTCCCTGGACATTTGAATTCTCAACTGCCGCAATACGTACCTGAAGCATCATAATAAAAATGTGGCCACATTCATGTATTGCACATGCGTTTTATTACCACTCACTGACCTTTGAAACTGACGAGAAACGTGCAATAAGGTACGCAATATCTGTGTTGAAAGTTTTTCACCACAAGTGTGTTTCCCCTTCAGGAACTCGAGCTGTGTCGAAGTTGCTTTGGGAACGCCCTTGCGTGACCGCGTTCTGAAGCACGTGTCAAATCAGTCCAATGGAGTAGCGAGACGTCACGAGCGGGGTGACGTAAGCACCAGAAAGTATAAAAACTCCCTGCATCCCTCCAAGCGCTACTTCATCGAAGCTGGTTTGCGCTCTGCCGGATGCGCTTTTATACTTTCTGGTGCTTACGTCACCCCGCTCGTGACGTCTCGCTACTCCATTGGACTGATTTGACACGTGCTTCAGAACGCGGTCACGCAAGGGCGTTCCCAAAGCGACTTCGACGCAGCGTCTCGTTCCCTCGGGGAACCATGGTTACATACGTAACCTAGAGACGATTTTCCATGAGCCTGGGTTGAAGATCAGGACATTTCTGCAGCTGAAACCAGCATGTCTAGTGCAAATAGTCTTTGACTGTTTAATTTTCAAATTGTTTTCCCAGTCTTATCAGATGAAAAGCACCCAAAACCAGTAAAACAGTTCAGGCTCGAAGACGGCAAACCAGTTTAGGCTGTTTTAATCTTTAATCTTTTAATTTTACTTTACAATGCTGTAATGCCTTCAACTAAAGAAACAATATTCAGGGTCTCTTCTCCCTCTCTCTCCCTCTCTCTCGAGAGAGCTATCAGAGCACATACAGCAGTCACTTCTCATTTCTCTTGATCTCAATGGGCAGCAGGAAGAGAAAAGGCAATAGGACATGGACCCAGTCAGCCATTCCCCTTAATTCTCTCACCCCAAACTTTTTAACATTGCCCTCTTAAGAGTCGGCTGCTGACAACATTGATTTGATTTCTCGTCTCAGCTGTCTAATGCACTTGATTCTCTTCTCCAAATTAACAGAGGCATCTATTTTCAGCGTCTCATCCCTCTGGAGAATTACAGGGAGAGACGGGGGCAAACAGGATGGGATTGTGCTGATATGAGCATTTGTTCTAAATTACTGAGCTTGTTCATAAAGAAGGGCAGAGAGAGAGAGAGAGAGAGAGATAGAGATAGAGCAAAAGCAAGAGTTAGGCGAAAGAGAGAGAGAGAGAGAGACAGAGACAAAGGCCAAATAGTCATGTCATTCCAAAACCAAAAGACTTTCTTCAGTGAAACTCAAAACAAGAAATTTAAAACAAAATGTACTAGTAGCAGTCTTTTCCATACAATTAGTATGAATGCAAACCATTCAAGTTTCAAAAAGGATGCTAAAGCCATACAATAGCTTTGTGAGACTGAAAAAAAAAAGTCTTTATTTACTGAAAGACTCGCCATCCACACTAGCTCTATAGTGTGTTCAGGAGAGATTTGTAAAATAATTTAATTTATTTATAAAATAATTTATAATTTAATTGCCTGAATGAATAAGCTTGATTTCTGATTTATTCAGCAAGGATGCATTCAATTGATCAAACTGTATTCAAAGTAAAGACATGTATATGGAAAAAATAAAAATCCACAAAAATAATAAGCACAACACTGATAATAAAGGCAATGTTTCAGCATATTAGAATGATTTCTAAAGGATCATGTGACACTAAAGACTGGAGAAAATCTGAAAATTCAGCTTCGCCATCAAGTTATAATATATATAATAATATAAATATATGTTATATAATAATAATAAATATATATATATATAGAGAGAGAGAGAGAGAGAGAGAGAGAGAGAGAGAGAGTGCACGATTGTTATGGACCAACTTTTGGTGATTTTGCATCACAATCACTTGAACAATTATTTTAAGAAATTATGTAAGCTTTATTAGCACCCTTACTGTGCATCAGCCACTTTGCCTCTTATATCACTCCTCACAGCACCATCCTGCACCACGAATGAAGAAGAAGAAGAAAAAAATCCCAAAGAGGTGACAGAACAGCATGATATATGACTTGGACTCATGGAAGTTAATTAAATAGCCTGGGCAGTATAACTAAAGTGAGATAGGAGAAGGAGAGAGAGAGACAAAGGAAGAGAGAAAGAGAGCTATGGACAGCTCAACATGGCGGCACTAATTTAAACAAGAGGGAAGGAAGGTCGGTGAGCATGAATAATCTAAACATGTTCAAGGTGCTCGTGGAATTACACTAACATTGCAGTTATGGGACAGTGAATCAGGCTTGTAGACAGGGAAAGATGGAGACAGATGAGTATATAACAGGAGGAGATCAGGAACAAGGAAAAGGAGAATGATCTGAAGTAGTTAGGAGGTGCTTGGAGTAAAATTACGGAGGACATGGTCCACTCACATCTGACCAGAAGTCACATCTACCAACTTAACAAAAGATGTAATGTAACACATTATATGAAATGTGAACATTAGATAACTCATTCAGAGTTCTTGATGGAAGTACAGTACATGCTGCCAGTAAGAATGCTTCTGTGTAGGGATGGGCATTTTTAAAAAATATTGCATTCGAATATTTGAGCTCATAAAAAAACAAATATTCGAATATACGTTTATTTAATTGACGTTTAATGAGAAAGGCGTTTTTAATCAAACATTATTTTTGTCACCATTTCCGAACAATCTTATCAGAACAAGCTTATAAATTAAATCCTGTGTTTTTTTCCGTTTTAAAACGTTAAACATTGTGTGCAAAAAAAATAAAACAAATACAGAAAAAAGCGGCTATAAGGCATATACATATACACTCGATTCAGCATCGTGTTTGCATTGTTTCACATATTTTTGTTGAAACACACACATACACACACACAAAAAAAAAAAAAAATCCTTGTACATGATCGGGTGAGAGTCAGCTCCTTATGCCATGTGTCCATCAAAGCGCCTTTAGCCAGCTGAAAACGGCAAGCGCTCTTCTGAAAATGCCTAGCTGTGAATGCTTGCGAGTGCTACGGAGGCTTTTTTTTTTTTCAGTTGAGACGCTCAGGTTGCTGTGATACGGAATAGCCGCTGAAGTAATGTAGCAGATGCATCACAAACAAAATGCTTTCAATATTTTTCATATTAATATTAACTTCTCCATTGTCGTTCAGTCGTAGTACAGGTAGGATGTGACAGTTGGTCAGTGCGGTATTTGCCCCGCCTAGTTAATTATGACAGAATTTAAATTTTTGGATCAACTATCCCAGGAAGTAGTCAGATCTGTGCACAAGAGAGAGAGATGTAAGAAACTGCAAGAAACTGAAAAAGCGTGAGAGGAGGATGAAGCAGTGCAAAAACTAAAACACACCATTCTATCTCAGTTCTATCAATTCTATCTCAAGTAGTTTGTTTTCTCGTACCTCTTGTTGTCAAGAATCAACTCATGTATTGGTAAGTGTACTATGTGTGGTGAATGATCTTGTAATTGACGCACATAGCCGGCGATGAGTTGTCAGAAGTGCTCCCCAAAATGACAGAAAACAAGAAACTGCGAGTTTTAAAATGGTCCGAAAAATGACTTACAGTAGTGTGCTTGGCATAAACAACAATAATAGACAAGCACAGTCTGTTTATAGAAATTACACACAAATAATCATGCATTTTCATGTCTTTACTAAACACACCAATTGTTGCTGCCAAAGATCAATTAGTTATTACACTACCATTCAAAAGCTTGGCGTCAGTAAGATTTCTTTTAAATGTTTTTGAAATAATTATTTTATGCTCACCATGCTTGCATTTATTTAATCACAAATACAGTAAAAAAAAAGTGATATTGTGAAATACTATTAGAATTTAAAATAACCATTTTCAATTTTGACATACTTTAAAATGTGATGTCACATGATCCTTTAGATATCAATACTGAAGACAGTTGTGCTTATTTATTTATTTTTATTATTCGATTGTTTGTTTGTTGGTTGGATGAAGCCAAGAATCTCCCAAATTGTGTTCAGTAAAGACACAACATATAATTATTTTACGTATTGTAGGGATTTCTAGTACATGAACGGACACTGCTATGCTCCTATCAGCCATCAGGAGGTTTGCTAATCATCCCAGCACATGACTCCAATATTCTGGGTCGACTTCCTGCCAGTCGTGTCGTCATCTACTCAGAGGAGTGATTAAAGATTGATACAATCAAGAGACAACAAAGCTTTCTTTGTATCAAGGACTGAAAAGGTTCGTTCACAACATATAAAAACCACGATGTCTTGTGACCAGCAATGAATAGAACTAGTATATCCAGCAGGAAAAGGATGAGTAAATTAACTAGTGCCCTCAGGCCCGCAACACGGGATCTAGACGTGACTAACACATGACTCCCATCACATCTGCTTCCTGAAACCCCAACGGACCTGCGTCCTTATGTTACAACCAAAGAAACAGAACCTTGCATGACGATTTTAAAAGACAAATCGTTTAAAACTCATAAGTAGTGAAAATGTATCCACTGTATGTGTTCTGCCGTATATATATATATTCGATGTGTTTATTGAAACCATGATATTTTAATATTTGACATAACTCTTTTTAGCAGACAAAATAATTAATTCCCTTACAAATTTAAGTAGTCAAGTTATCTACAGTATAATGGTTTGTGTTGTTTTTGTTTCGGAATATTGGTTATAATCTTGGTAACTCAGCAGTTTCTTGCTGATCAGAACCTGTAACCTTTTTGTTCATCCATGGCATTCCTGGTTATACTACTGCTATTAACCTTTCTGACATCCACATGGTTTCCCTTATATACAATTTCACATACTCACCTCTCCTTCTGAAGACTCTAAAGTGAGATCTTTCCTACAAGAAGCTTTGAATTCCCCTACTCCTGCGTTGACTTCAACACCTTTAGGGGCCTCCAGTGTCAGTGTCCTCGTCGGGGACTCTAGCCTGTTAGAGGAAGACAGACTTTTATGAAGTAACATGTTTTTAATGCACACACAGCTTTCAGTTGATCAAATAATAATCAAAACCTTGCTAAACAAACTTCTCTCATAAGTAGCAAAAGTCTGATTCATTCGAGTGAGTCAGTGACTGTTCAGATGATTCACATCAAAGAACCTATTCAAAAAGCAATTTAATGATTTGAGTCCTTGCGTGGCATTTTATGTTTTGATTTTAAAGAAAAATACTGCTGCTCATTGCTATTCTCAGTTAAGTAAATTAGGGAGTATATTACTTTTTAGCTGTGGGGTTGAAGTTTAATTATGTCAGCTGTCATCCCAGTTGAGTTCATTAATTTAAAACCCATTGTTTTCTGCCAGACAAACAACAGTTAGTTCAGGTCCTCTAATTTGATTGAACAAGTGGCACTTCAAGAGTGCTGATATTTAGTATAACAATGCTGGAACATTTCACTTGCCCAAACAATGCAGACTAATTATGGGCTTCACATTCAAGCTCTGTTTAGTGCTATGTTAGACTTATGAGAGACAAATGATATGCAGACTGTAAAGAGGGAGAGCACAGT